GGGTGAAACCCAGCTGCTGTGGCTGCGTTGAGCAAGGCCTCCATGCAGGCTGTCATGGATCTTCTGGTCAGCATGTTGTTGTTTTTCTCCTGCCATCCTTCGTGGGTGCTGTTTGACTGGTGCACCAGGATGGGTTATGATGTCGTGCGGAACGAGGCTTGTCCAGCCCAAGTCAGCAGGACCTGTAGAAAACACATGTCCATAGTCACAAAGCAAACATTTAAGTTGGAGCTGTTCATGGTCATTTAGGCCAGCAGAGCTCTGGTCATAGAACTCTTGCAAGTGCGCAGGAACAACGGGCTGACTGGCTAGCAAATCCACCGCCGGGTGAGGTTTGGGTTGTGGTATGGCTGCAGTTGGCTGGAGTAGCCCCGCAATAGACCCTTCTTTCACAGTTACAACTTTACTGCTGGGGTTGAACAGGAACAGCTCCAGAAGGCCGTGCATTGACCAGAACTCGAGCTACCAGCACTTTATGTCTCTCCACAAACCCCTTCGTAGGACTTAATATCATGTCTCCGTGAACTGCTGCACCTGAATGCACAGTGCCTCTCACCATATACTCCTTCCCCGGTTCGACCACCACAGTTCTGGCCATCCTCACCGCATGTGACTTAGGTGCAGCTTCAGCGTGATAACAAGGCACTTCCTCGCCGAAGAGAACAATGCGGTGTTTGCCAAAATCAAGACGAGCTGCAGCTTCAGTGAGGAAACGGTGACCCAGCAACACCTCATCTCCTGCAATATCTGCTACTAGGAAATCCACTTCGTGGCTGCTAATATTAACAGGTATCTGGGCCTCACCGAGCACAGGCACATCTCCAGGTCCTATGCCAAGCAAAGTCTCCACAACTGAAGGCTGCAGTGGAGGTCTCATGTCAGGATGAATAGCATTGTAGTAATGTAACGGCAGCACACTCCTCTGGGTGCCACTGTCCAAAACAGCAGACACCTCCAGCTCGTAGAGGCACATGTGGATGGTCATTTCTTGGCTTTGGCTCTTAAGGTGGTCGCATAGTGGCCTCTGGGCCGTCACGGGTGGTGCTGCCAACTGTTAAAGCCTTGGTGGTCTGGTGAGGAGAGGGCCACTGTCTCCGTATATGGCCCCAACCATGACAGTTGTGGCAGCAAACTCCACCTCTCTTAGTGTGGTTGTGATTGTTTGGTGTGGAAAGCGTGGAACAGGGCAGTTAGGTGGAGGATTAGCTGCAGGTGTATCATCCATAGAACTCACATTCCTATCCTTTTCTCTGACAACAGCAGCTCGAGGCCAACGTTCAGCGGAGTTCCGGGCTCTTAGCTGCATGGCACTTGTGACATAAAATGCAGCTCTCTTGGTGGTTTCATGATGGTGCACAATCTCGTATGCACGAGCAAGTGTGGCTGGTCGTTTCTCTATCAGTTTTTGCACCATTTCTGCATCACCCAGACCATTTGTTAATACTTCCACAGCTATAGAGTCTTGTTCTGCTTCTGCTCGGTCACCATAAGCTACAGCCACTTTTCCATAAATGTCATCTCTGAAGACATGCAAAGCTTCACTAGGTTTGCGCAGTCGCTGCCTTAGTTCAACTGCTACTGCAGCTACATGTTCAGAAGAGGGACCATATGCAGTTTCCAGTTTGTCCATCTGGCAGCAGTAGTCCCATTTAGATGAATGAGGATTACTGTGAATAATGGCTCCTGCTGCTCCAACCAGGCAGAATTTCAACTGAGTTGTCCTAGGTTTTTCTGACCAGTAGTTAGCTTCAGCACAGCTTTCAAATCTCTGCAGAAATTCCTTCCATGGTGTGGTGCCATCATATTGCCCTGGACGTAAAGTGGGGACCCTCTCTCTATGATCACTTTCCTCTTCACAATCAGATGGGCTTGTGAGACATCCAGTGGGTTCTACTTGGTTTAGAAAAGGACTGACTCCATTCAAGTCCATAGCTTATAGCTTCATTCAGGTCAAGAGGAGGTGAATGCTGCACAAGTGTACCTACTACTGGGTTTAATGGAGCCGGAGTGCTTTGTACAATACGTGCCATGTGAGCAGCAGAAAATGGGTTTGAGTCTGGATGATGCACTTTCATTGGCAGAGTAGGTGCCGAATAATCATATATATTGTTGCTCGTACTCCCCTCCCGCGCGTCATGTTGACATTTGACCTCAACAAAGGGGTTTGTGTGGAGGAACTGTGGCTTAGCGGGGCTGCTGAGCAATGCAAGCAACTCCTCTCCTTTAGCTTGTGTGCTAACACAACTTTCACCGCACAGAAAAGGGTTTGAATGTCCACATGTTGCCATAGTTCTAACTTTAGTAACTTCCTTACTGCACTCAGTGTCCTCAGAGACAATGCTCAACGACATAAATGGGTTGGAATAATTAGTTTCAAGTCCATAATCACGGGGGTGGCGAGAGGCAGCCATCGGTAATTAGCTTAGCAAGGAGCTAATACACAGTCACTCGGCTTTATTATTAGCCACTTCACAGTTTTTCCTTACAGCTCACCATGAGTTTTCAGCATGAAAGAGTCCCTTCGTGGTCGCCAGTGTTAACCATTCCTGTTTCAGTTGCCTGACCGTGGTCGGAAGACACAGGGGAGAATACCTCCAGGGCCAAAGTTGTCCTCTTCGGGGTTAACCCCCCTTTCTGTTCTACAAGTTGCTGAATGGTGACATACTGAGACACATGGAGTTTGCTGAAGCCTTCAGGTTTATTTATGAACCGCACATTAACCAACTTTTACAAACTGTTTTCTGGTCACTACCGCTTCCTTCTAGCTATGTCTTTAGGGGCAGCAGTAGCTCAACAGGTTGAGTGGTTCCAGTAATCGGAAAGTTGTAGGTTCGATCCCGGCTCTGGACAGAGAATTCTGCTGTTGTGTGCTGGGCAAGACACTTAACCCACCTTGCCTGCTGGTGGTGGTCGGAGGGACCGGTGGCGCCTGTGCTCGACAGCCTCGCCTCTGTCAGTGCGCTCCAGGGCAGCTGTGGCTACATCATATCTCATTACCATCAGTGTGTGGATGTGTGTGTGAATGGATAAATGATACACTGTAGTGTAAAGCGCTTTGGAGTCCTTACTCTGAGAAGCGCTATACAAGTGCGGGTCATTTATCATTATCATCTACTCACACTCTCCCCCGCCCTCAGCGAATGCCGTTTTTCCATGCCCATCCTGATGTTCATCTCATGCACAAATCATGCCCGCTCTACTCACACAGAGCTTCCAATCACATACCAGTTTGACAAATCCTGTAACAACACGCATTACTTAAATGTATAGAATCACCTACTGGAGGATAGCACTTAACCATTATGGAATTATAAAGGAGATCTGCTCACATCACTCCAAGGACTGAAGGTAAGGCTCCAGGAATAACCCTTTAAATGTGTGATGCGGACTGAAAACTAGACACATTACGAGTCCCTGTCAGATAAACACGACCCACTGTTAAACTCTTTTGTGAAGTTTAACTCACTCACATTTCTAATAAAACACAACTTTTAAAGAACATTTCTTACTTTTGAAATAAGCCACCCACTTTATTAACTTAATAATTCCTCATTGTGTGTTGTTCGTGTTATCTTTGCACACGTTCATGTTCAGATTCTTCCTTTGAAGCCATGGCCCCATTGATTGTCCCTGAATGCAGCACTACTTTTGGAAACAAACATTTATCTATCAGTTAAAGATCTTATTTTTCTGGAAAATTTAAGGTTTTACTCTGGACCTCCGACATCCGTGCTTTTAAATACGAGGACTTTCCACACACATCATGTTAACATTGGAACATCTGGCATCTGGGATTGCATTTACTTTTATTTCAAACCTCCCTGACAGTTTTACCTCTGTCCCAGACTGAGGCCAGATTCTTGCGCCAGTGCGTCTCAGACGGTTGAATCGGTCTCTTCCGCATTTCCGTTCGGTCCTGAATCTAAAGCAAAAATGGTGTGCAACCGGAAGTCTGGTATATTTATTTTCCAAATAAAAGCATAAATAATTTCGGATACTGGGTTGGCGAGTCACTGAAATGCGTTTTATTACTGACTAGTTTCTAGCAACCAGTCAAATCTGCATTAGAGATTTCATGTTATTTTCCCTGTAATAAGTCACATGAGAACAGAAATGGCTGCTCGTGTTTTCTCTTCTTTACTAAATCCCTGAAAAAAGCCCAAAACTAATTGTCAGAAAATATAAAATCCCTGTTCATTGGCCCCAGGAATAACTGGTTTGCGACCTAACTTTATTCAATTAAAATGACCAAGTTGACCTAAATGTTAAAGAAAACACTACCTGTCTGACAGGCTCAATATGTGTCATGTTTTTTTTTCACCTCCCATCACCTTGCTAAAGGTAATCAGATGGAGTCCATACTTCATAACATCACACCAGGACTACTGTGTGTGACACCTGCAGATAAGCAACAGGTGCTTCACTTGGCAGTGAAATTTTGGAATGGAACTAAACAGGTCACACCATCTTGACTGACCTTCCTTGTCTTCATGTTTGTTTTAGGATAGATTTCAAGGTTCTCTTGTTTGTTTTCCATACTTTGTCAGTAGGTGATCTCTTCATCTACAGGGGCTTCGGTGCCATCATCTTCCCATGCTGCCTTTGTGATTGGCTGATCAGTGTTTGTTAGTTGGACCCGGTTTCAACCTAGTTGCCCTAGAGTGTGGAATGGTCTACCACTTGTCATCAGGCAAGTGTGCCCCCCCCCCCCCCCCCCCATCAGTGGTGATGATGATGATGATGATGATGATGATGATGATGATGATGATGATGATGAGTGGTCTAATGAAAATGAGCACCTAGTGAAAAAGAACTAATTCCAAACATCAGATGTGTCATATTCAGCTATCAACGAGTTTCTTGTTTCAAATACATTATAATATAATACTATATTTCAGATCAGTGTTCGTGGGCGTTTAGCAGTTTGAGATCTGAGGAAACTCCTTAGGCAGACCAGATGTTTTTATTTTGAAAGACCCTGCAGGAAGTGCTGTTCCACCAAACCTCTTGTGTTTGTCTCACAAAACTTGTGCAGGAAGTTTGACTCGGAGTAGACAGCTGATTTGTAAAAGTTGGACAGTGTTATGAGTGGACACACGGTCCCTGCGGACATCTCAGACCACATGTTGGACTTGGACGAGGACGAAGACCTGGAGGTTTACAGTAAGGTAAAGCGGAGCTCCTTTAAACCGAATAAACTCCCTCAGTCTGGTTTGCTCTGGTTGCTCTTTAGCCTCATCTCTCTGTAACTTTTAACTTAACACATAACGACTTAAAAAACAGAAACTTAGCATTCCCTCAGAACGTCTAGAATCAGGCGACTCTTCAAAATAAAAGTCTTGTCCGTGCTGACTCCAGAGTATTCAGCTTTCCGCCAAACTCCGTTCAGATTCGGAGTGATTGGGGGATCAGTTGGCAGGACCTAAAAACTTTAATCAGATTCTTTATTTATACTAAAACAAGTGGTTCTGTCGTCAGTTCGGCTCACCCTGGTGAGCTGATTTCGTCAGTTCTGTCCGAAGATGTTGGCTTGCTTTTTAAAGTGAGTGAATCTACATTTATAACGAGGGGCGGAGATGAATGGGAGATGGTGTTGAGGCCTTCAGAACCGAACCGGGACCGGTGTGTCCTACAGCTGATGGATGGTTACAGCTCCATTCCTCACATTTTAAACTGATTACAGAGGTTATGGCAGCATTTCTGACTAAAAGCGCAAATAATTGAAGAACTGGTTGTGAGAATTTACAGATGCAGTGAATAAAACATTTGCAGGAGGTTTGTGTTCACATCTAACCTGCTGTAGAGTACTTAGGCAGGTGATGTTTAATGTTTTCCTCTGCTTTTATCCTCAGCGGTGATCTGTTAACGCAGATTGATCAAATCAAAATGTCAGGTGGTTTTCTGGATTAAAGTCCAGATTTAAACAGCCTTTAACTTTACACACACACGGGGTTTCCTTTCTTTTATCTTGTGTGTGTGTGTGTGTGTGTGTGTGTGTGTGTGTGTGTGTGTGTGTGTGTGTGTGTGTGTGTGTGTGTGTGTGTTTACAGGATTGCTATAAAACACAATCCTGACAGAACAAAGATGGAATCAATCAAATGCTCATCCGCAGAGACAACTCAAGTATAGAACAATATGAAAACACACCAGCATACCGAAACATTAGCATAAACAGAAATGGACTAGCGTTTCTGCCTCGTCCTATTGGTAAAAAGGGAAGCCACAATTTCCCATTTAAAGGAGTAGCCCAATGGCAGCTGGTGGAAAAAAATACTTAAATATGAACAGTTGAAAAATAAACATTATTCCAAAACAATCATTCAGTACCTTCTCCAAGTTTTACAGAAGATAGTCAATTTTGAAATTTAAAAATAAAGTAGAAAAATAATAATACTCTAATAAGTACACAAGCCTAAATGTGAGCCTTTCAGAGCAACCGCAGGCAACACGTTCCGTTTTTCTTGTTATTCACACTTTATTTTGTCCTTAGATGGTTTTCCAGCTTTCGGTCTCCAGCAGCCTCTGTGTCTCAGTCATCTGCTCAAACAAGGCATGCGAACCCCAGAGCACTTTACTCAGCACCACCAGTAGGTGGCACTAACACGACATAGATATTTTATTGGATATCATGTTTTAAACCAGCGTATAAATGTAGAAGACTCGTTGCAGTCGCTAAAATCAGATGGCTTACCAGGCTAGCATTATAATCACATAATATGAGAACAAAACACATTTTTACAACAGAAGCTACAGGTCTGATTGCAGCTCTATCAACTGTGTGCATTAATGTGAACAAGGGCGTGAGAGCGAGAGGAGAAAGGAGATCAGGCACCATCTAGCAGGCTAGCTAGATGGTTTCTGTAGCTGAGGTGCTGTCGAACAGCTGTGGTGGACCACAGACACCTCCAGAACATGCTGGATGTTGGCCCTGGAGGACCTGGGTTTGAGGATCTGTTTACTTTACAGCTTGTTGGTCTGATCCACACACTCTGTTCTTATTTAGCTGATAAAGAGTCTTCAGAGTAAACTGAACTGTTTAAGGTTTTTCGCCTCATGTTCAGTCTTCGCTGGTGTGTCAGAAGGCAGCTGCAGCTAATGATGGTGGAATTCTTTCCTCTTGCTCAGTGGAACAGAGGAGCTGGGTTTGGACTTGTGTTGCAGTCAGACCTTTAGCTGCAGAAGCTGGGTGTTGAAACCTGAACTCCAGCTTAATCTGCTGCCCCTGGCTGCTCTGGTAGGTAAACATTCCTGTTGCTTCAGCCCTGACCAAAACACTTGGTGTAAAGGTGTCTGGTTTTGGTCAAGTTTGGCTCCGGTCACGGTGATTCTGTGCTAACGCTGCAGACATAGCTGTGTTTACAGCCTCACGATGAAGAGGACGAGTGTCGAATATCTGTGAACTCAGCAGGTTTTCAGCTCTGATGTTTGCATAAGCATTATAATTTGAATATGACAACAACACATCTACAGGGTTTTTGATGAGTCAGTTTGCTTTAATGTCCAGTTCAGGAAGTTCTGAGTGTGTGTGTGTGTGTGTGTGTGTGTGTGTGTGTGTGTGTGTGTGTGTGTGTGCGCGTGCGCATACACACACATTTCCTTCTGCTAAAGTCTTTAATAAACCCACGTCCACGTCTCTTCTGCTGATGGGTTTTCATGTGAAACTGTTAACTGAGGCTAATGCTAGCCTCTTTGTTCCAGTCAGATAGTAGTTTTCCAAGTCCAAACCAGTTGTCTAAGGTCCAAACACGTGTTCTTGTGGTTCTGGTAGGTTTCACTCAGAGAAAACTTACTGAGAAGTTGTTCTATCAAACCAAAGATGGAAATTCTGGTTTTAATTGTAAAGGGTTTCATGATGGAAGTCCGTAGCAGACCTTCACCTCAACTCACTGTACCAACGTGTCATCACACACACACACACACACACACACACACACACACACACACACACACACACACACACACACACACACACACACACACACACACACACACACACACACACACACACCTTTCATTCTAAAGTGTGAAATATGTCCGTCTTGTTCAGTAACTCCGTTTTGTTGGGTCATCTCTGGATTTTACCAGATTCTGTGGCTTCTCCTGCTCTACAGTAGCTTCTACTTTCATTTCCATCCAGAACACCACCCTGGCTGATGGAGGCCCCATGCCCAACTCTCCTGGATCAATGGTCAACCAGTACCAACTGGAAGAGGATGAGGAGGATCACCAGGATGTCAAAACTAAAGACATCTTTGTCTGTGTCGACAACCCAGAGAGCCACATCACTGCTATCGAGACCTTCATCACGTACAGAGTGGTGACCAAGGTCAGTCTGAGCAGAACCAACCAGTGGTGCTTCAGCACTTCCTTGACTTGTTTTGGTTTTCTGACATCTGAGGCGAAGTGATCCTCAGATGATCACCTGCTTTACCAAGCGTCAGACGCTGAAACGTCAGCATTAAACAGCAAAAGCATTTTAGTTTTCTATTACCATTGAACGTGAAATCAGTTCAGAGTTCAGACTAAACACAAGGTGGCCATGCTGTTTTTATTTTTGAATGTTTAGTAATTCTGTGGCTTGTGCAGACTCAGTTCTGTACACCAGATCCTATTTTACATGAAAACATCCTAATTAGCAGCAGTAGACACAACATTTAATGATTTTACTGAATTTGCTCTCAGTTCTGCAGGACCGGGGTACTTTGACATGGTTGAGTTAATGCGTTTGGTCTGTTTTTGAGTCTTCATCATCCCATCACTCTGTATTGAACCAGCTATGGTATGAAAACTTTAGCCTGTTTGAAAAGATCTAAAGCTGGAATAAACATGGCCACCCCTTGTTCCTTCCAAGAGCTGCTGATGGCTGCTCACTGGGGACTAAGCCGCCCTAAAGGTCAGATCCTAGAACTGCCCTCTAAAAACACACCGGCTGATGGAATCTCCTGCCAGTGAAGCACCTGGATGGTTCAGGGTGGATGAACACTAAGAAGTGAAACAGGTGTTTGATGTTTCTCCAGACTAGCCGGAGTGAATTTGACTCCAGCGAATATGAAGTACATCGGCGCTACCAGGACTTTGTGTGGCTCCGAAGCCGGCTGGAGGAGAACTACCCAACACTGATTGTTCATGTAGGTACCACACATCTGCACCACACCGCAGAACAAGTGTCATGACTTGGCAGCGTAAAATCAGAGAGGGCACTGGAAGTAAAGCTTCAGGAGACCAAAGGTCTGATCCTCTGAGCCTGGGAGGATCTGCCGTGTGTAAATGTGCATATGTAGCATAAGTACATGTTCGTCAGAACAGGCCAGACCTGAACACCAAGCTTTTTCAGTCAGAGGAGTCTCATGTTGGGGACCAGCACTTCCTGTAAAACAATAACATTAGATGCTTTGTACTGAAGTGTTTGTTTGGCTTCAGCCTCTCCCAGAGAAGTTTGTGATGAAAGGCATGGTGGAGCGTTTCAACGATGACTTCATCGAGACCCGGAGGAAAGCCCTGCACCGCTTCCTCAACAAGATCTGTGAGCATCCTGTCCTGTCCTACAGCCAGCACTTCAAAGCTTTCCTCACCGCTCAGGTGTGTGTTCTCATGTCTAGGTTTAATCTTTTTTTTTTTTAGGTTTTACTTTGAAATATTTTAGTTCTAAAAGCTCAGCAGACTGAGAAAGCTGAACAGGCAGCCAGTGCAGTGGGGATAAAATGGGGAGAAGCGCAGCAGTAGCTCAGGAGGGAGAGTGGGTTGTCCACTCAGAAGGTTGTAGGTTAAATCCTAGCTCCAGATAGAGAATGCTGCTGTTGTGTCCTTGGGCAAGACACTTAACACACGTTGCCTGCTGATGGTTGGAGGGACTGGTGGCACCTGTCCTTGGCAGCCTCGCCTCTGTCAGTCGCCCCAGGACAGCTGTGGCTACATGGTAGCTCATCCCCACCAGCGTGTGAACCAGCTGTTCCCCCCACTTCCATATTTACAGTCCAAGCATCTCTAGCCAGCCAACAGAACTAAATGGTCTATGGTCTGTATTTGATATAGCGCCTTCTAGAGTCCTGGAACCCCCCAAGGTGCTTTACAACACAATCAGTCATTCACACATTCACACACTGGTGGGGATGAGCTACGATGTAGCCACAGCTGCCCTGGGGCGCACTGACTGAGGCGAGGCTGCCAAGCACTGGCGCCACCGGTCCCTCTGACCACCACCAGCAGGCAACGTGGGTTAAGTGTCTTGCCCAAGGACACAGCGACAGACTGAGTGGGGCTCGAGCCTGCAACCTTCCGATTACAGGGCGAGCACTTAACTCCTGTGCCACCGTTTCCCACACCGTTTTTTATTGTTAAAACACACTGTTTAACAATTATTTTTCTCATGTTGTTATTCATATCATTATAATAACTAATTAATAAATATTTATTTGTTTATTTATTTAAAAATGTTAAAGACTTGCTTGCAGGTCGCCAACCCTGCATATGTCTTGGTACGCCCACAAGTGTTATTGCCCACTCTGTGACATAAGCGGATGTCTAACGCTATTGGCTAATGCTGAGTGGTGCGCTGTTCAAATTGCATGGGGCTCTGCGAGATGGGCTTAACAACAAAATGAATAAAATTGACCTATTACCTACGTTACCCCTAAATTCCACTACCTCCGCTCCAGTCCGCCCCCGCTCCAGTCCGCCCCCGCCTTCCGCAGCCGCTCTCTTCCGAACTTGATTTTTACTGGTACCGGTGCGGAGACCTGAGGTGGGCAAACAAGCATGCGCGGGATTTTCGAGATCTTGCAATACAGTCCGAGCAATAAACGCAGAAGTTAGATCCAAACACCCGTTGTGTGGGAGAAGCATCGAAATGAACTGTTCAATCTGCCCATCATTTGTGTTGAGAGATCAGCAGTGTTTGGATCAACAAAGTGTGACTACTTTGATAGTGGAAACTGTATTTATGGCTTATTTTTGTGCATTTAAAGCTCAGCTGCCATTGATAGTTGTTAAAAGTTGTTAAACCTGTGCATATGAAACAAAAAACGCTTTTTGTTTATCGATTTATTGTGAAAAACGGAAGCTGTGCTTGCTCCCGTTCCTGTTGGGCGGTTGTGATTTCTGCCCATTGACTGCGGAGGTGCTCCGGCGTCCGGCAAAAATAGAATCAATCCTATTTTTGCCGGATGGGGGAACGGCGGGCGGCGCACTGTGGCGCACTGCCGCAGTAGTGGAACAGATCTGATTGACTACAACGGGACCGATTTTGCTGCGGAGCTCGTGCCGGAGTGGAGGTAGTGGAATTTTGGGGTTATACCGCAGTACAGGGTAAGAAAATCTGTTTTACATAAATTCTGAAAGGCGGAAAACTCCAGATTGTAGTTTTTAAATTCAAGAGAACCTGGATCAGGAAGTCCCCAGATGTTGGATTTGTCTTCATTTTCAAGTAGACTTAAAACTATTTTAACCAAATAAAATGTGTTCAAGCAAGCCACACCAAGCCAAATAGCACACTCATAACCGCAGCATTTTTTTTAATGTCTTATCTAATGTTGAATCTGTCCCTCACGACCTAAAATCAAAGAGACGTATCATTAGTCAGTCAGCAGTGGATGGGTTTTCTAGATTATTTGACAGCAGCTCAGTTCAGGGTGATGATCCAAGCTTGTTCATCCAGTCATTGGATAAACAATGCTGCAGCATCTTAGATAAAGTAGCTCCTGTTAAGCAAGTTACTTTTTCTAGCAAGAGAAAACGTCCCTGGATTAATCAAAATATTTACAGTCTCAGAAGGACATGCCGCAGAGCCGAGAGACGTTGGAAGTAAACTAGATTAGAAAGTCACAGGCTGCACAAGAACTGATATTATCTCTGAATGAGATGGTGAAAACTTCCAGGGCCACTTACTTTGCTCACCTGATTGCTGTAAACAAAAATAACTCTAAAGTCCAGTTTGACACCATAAACCAGATTGTTTCACCTCACGCCCCTCTTATGCCAGTTTACTCAAGGTCTGACTGTAACAACTTTCTAGCATTCTTTGAGAATAAAATCAGAAATATCAGGGCAAGTTTTTCACCCCCATCTACTTCCTACCCCCCATCCAACCCTGTCCCTCTCAATCATGGTCTGTCTTTACTCCTGTAGATTTCCAGGACATTTGCCTCATTCAGAAACACATGAACCCAACCTCATGCCCTGCTGATTTTATTCCTACTACCTTGTTAATCAGGATGTTTGACCAAATTGGCCCATGCATTGTAGATTTCATTAATTTATCCCTACAATCTGGCTCTTTACCATCTGTTTTCAAACATGCAGTTAATGAACCTATCCTTAAAAAAACAAGTTTGGACTCATCTCAGCCTAAAAATTACAGACCCATTTCTAAATTACCCTTTATCTCTAAAATATTGGAAAAGGTTGTGGCAGATCAATTGATTACTTTTCTGGAACTACACAACAGTTTTCGTAAAAAGCATTCAACAGAAACAGCTTTGCTTAAAGTTTCCAGTGACATCACTGTGGGTACCTCAAGGCTCTGTTTTGAGTCCACTGTTGTTTCTACTGTACATACACCCTCTTGGACAGATACTTGATTCTTTTCATAATGTATCTTATCGCCTATATGCAGATGATATTCAGCTGTACTGCTCCTTTAAGGATTCTGAGTTCTACAAACTGTCTGAATTACAAGAGTGTCTATCAGCTATCACCAGCTGGCTAGAAGAAAACTTCCTTCAGTTAAACTTTGAAAAGATTGAATGTCTGATCATTGCCCCTCAGAGCATGGTTCCCCTGATTAGTCTAAAACTTGGTCGTTTTCAGTGTTGGGCAAGTTACTTCAAAACTGTAATACATTATTTATTACTTGTTACCCTCATTTTAAAGTAATTCATTACATTACAATATTACTGATTTTAAAATGTAAGGTATTACACTACTACGGGGTGCAGCAGTGGCAGTTGCCGAGGCAAAATCTCGGGCGTGGGAGGAGTTTGGTGAGGCCATGGAGAAAGACTATCGATCGGCTCCAAAGAGGTTCTGGCAAACTGTCCGGCGCCTCAGGAGAGGAAGGCAGCAACTCGCTCACACTGTTTACAGTGGGGATGGGGAGCTGCTGACGTCAACTGAGGCTATAGTCGGACGGTGGAAGGAATACTTTGAGGAGCTCCTCAATCCCACCAATGCGCATTCCGAGGAGGAACCAGAGCTGGGAGGCCTGGGGATGGACTGTCCGATCTCGGGGGCAGAAGTTGCTGAGGTAGTCAAACAACTACACAGCGGCGGAGCCCCGGGGGCGGATGAGGTTCGTCCTGGGTATCTCAAGGCTATGGATGTTGTAGGGCTGTCATGGTTGACACGTCTCTACAACATTGCGTGGTCATCGGGGGCAGTTCCTAGGGAGTGGCAGACCGGGGTGGTGGTCCCCATCTTTAAGAAGGGTGACCTGAGGGTGTGTTCCAACTATAGGGGGATCACACTCCTCAGCCTCCCTGGAAAGGTCTACGCCAAGGTACTGGAGAGGAGGGTCCGATCGATAGTTGAATCTCAGATAGAGGAGGAGCAATGTGGTTTTCGTCCTGGCCGTGGAACTGTGGACCAGCTCTATACCCTTGCAAGGGTGATGGAGGGGGCATGGGAGTTTGCCCAACCAATCCACATGTGCTTTGTGGATTTGGAGAAGGCTTATGACCGTGTCCCCAGGGGCACCCTGTGGGGGACGCTCCAGGAGTATGGGGTGGGTGGCTTTCTGTTAAGGGCCATTCAGTCCCTTTACAAGAGGAGCGTGAGTTTGGTCCGCATAGCCGGTAGTAAGTCGGACCTGTTCCCAGTGAGGGTTGGACTCCGCCAGGGCTGCCCTTTGTCACCGGTTCTGTTCATCACTTTTATGGACAGAATTTCTAGACGCAGCCGTGGTGTGGAGTGTGTCGAGTTTGGTGGCAGGAGAATCTCGTCTCTGCTTTTTGCGGATGATGTGGTCCTCCTAGCTTCATCCAGCTCTGACCTTCAGCTCTTGCTGGGTAGGTTCGCGGCCGAATGTGAAGCGGCTGGGATGAGGATCAGCACCTCCAAATCTGAGACCATGGTTCTCGACCGGAAAAGGGTGGCTTGCCACCTCCGGGTCGGGGGAGAGGTCCTACCTCAAGTGGAGGAGTTTAAGTATCTCGGGGTCTTGTTCACGAGTGAGGGTAGGAGGGATCGGGAGATCGACAGGCGGATTGGTTCGGCGTCTGCAGTGATGCGGACGCTGAGCCGATCTGTCGTGGGGAAGAGGGAGCTGAGCCAGAAAGCCAGGCTCTCGATTTACCGGTCGATCTACGTCCCAATCCTCACCTATGGTCATGAGCTTTGGGTAATGACCGAAAGAACGAGATCGCGGATACAAGCGGCCGAAATGAGTTTCCTCCGTAGGGTGGCCGGGCTCAGCCTTAGAGATAGGGTGAGGAGCTCGGACATTCGGGAGGGACTCGGAGTAGAACCGCTGCTCCTCCGGATCGAAAGGAGCCAGTTGAGGTGGTTTGGGCATCTGGTCAGGATGCCTCCTGGACGCCTCCCCGGGGAGGTGTTTCGGGCATGTCCTGCCGGCAGAAGGCCCCCGG